GGAGACAAATTTCGAACAAAAGAAGAGTGTCTTAGAGCTATAAAAAAATACCACATGGAAATTTTAGCTGACTTCACTTTAGATAAAAATAATTCAGGGAGGTACATTATTTTATATCGTCAAAAACCAATTTTCCCTTTTCGATTAACTGCATCTTACAAGAAGAGAAGTGATTCATGGGAAATAGGTTCCATTGATCCACTCCACACTTGCATCACCACCGTTCCGACACAGGATCATCGGAAACTTAGTTCTCAACTAATATGTCAAGAAATCTTGCCTCTTATTAGCAAAGATCCATCATTAAAGGCGAGTACAATTATTTCTCATATCACTACGAGATTCAATTATACTCCCTCTTACAGGAAGGCATGGATCGGGAGGACTAAGGCAGTTGAACTTGTGTACGATAATTGGGAGGAATCGTACAAAGAACTTCCAAGATTTTTGGTGGCACTAAAATATTATGCTCTAGGAAGTGTTATAATTTTGGAGACACTTCCGACTTTTACCCTAGACAGAACTCGTGTTAGTAGGAATGGAATATTTCATCGATTGTTCTGGGCGTTTGAACCATGCATCAAGGGTTTTGCATTTTGCAAACCTATTATACAGATTGATGGAACTTGGTTATACGGAAAGTATAAAGGAACATTACTCATGGCAGTGGCACAACATGGGAACAATAATGTTTTTCCGACTGCCTTCGCTCTAGTTGAAGGTGAGACAGGTGGTGCATGGAATTTCTTTCTGAAGAATCTCCGATTACACGTTGCTCCACAACCCAACCTTTATTTGATTTCAGACAAACATCCATCAATTGCAAATGCATACAATAACCCTGATAACGGTTGGCAGGACCCCCCTTCGACACATGTCTATTGCATTAGACATATCACACAAAACTTCATGCTCCATATCAAAGACAAGACACTTCGAAAGAATGTTATTAATGCAGGGTATGCCTTAACAGAACCGTCATTCCGATACTATCGCGAAGAAATCCGGTTGGCAAACTCAAAAGAATTAAGGTGGATCGATAATATTCCAGTGGAGAAGTAGACTCGGGCATTTGACAATGGTCAACGATGGGGCCACATGACAAAAAATCTGGTGGAATCATTGAACTCTGTATTCAAAGGCATCTGAAACCTACCAATTACCGCTTTGGTTAGAGTAACATATTTCAGAATGGGTTTATTGTTTGACACAAGAAGTTCAAAATGGACGGCAGTGTTACAATCAGGGCAGTTGTTCAGTGAATGCACGATGAAAACATTTAACGAGGAGGCTGCAAAAGCAAACATCCATAGTGTCACCGTGTTTGACCATATTAAAGGTTGGTTCAGTGTACAAGAGACACTGGATCATAATGAGGGGAGGCCAAGGGGATATTATCGAGTCGAACTAGATAGAGGTTGGTGTAATTGCGGAAAGTTTCAAGCATTTCGCATGCCTTGCTCTCATGTCATAGCGGCATGTTCGCATGTTCGCTTGGACCCAATACAACATATATCCCCCGTGTACACGATAAAGAGCATTTTAAGTGTGTACATCAATACCTTCTCCGTGTTGGCAAAGGAGGATTATTGGCCTGCTTATGAAGGGGACATTGTTTGGCACAATGATCAAATGCGACGGAAGAAAAAGGGGCGCCCGAAAAGCACTCGTATTAGAACTGAAATGGATACGGCCAACAAAATGATAAGATTATGCGGTACATGTCGTCTTTCCGGACACAATCGAAAAAATTGTCTGAATATTGGGTCTAGCTCTGCAACATAACTTTTTAATAGCAAACTATCTGGAGTGTTTAATTTGTTGTACGCAATATATTTCAATTTAAATTTGAGTTATCATTTTGTGTTCAATTTATCATTCGATTACAACAACTTTCACATCACGACACAAAAAATTACAACACCACATACTCAGGACAACAATACGACAACATGATAAACAAACAAAACAAATAAACAAATCATAATATCTAAGAGATAAAGACCATCAACACAATATCATCTGGTCCAAGCATCATCATCATGACATCAGCATCGCATCTCACATTTTTCCATGATCGGCTTACTCCATTTTCTTTCTTCACTGTGATGTGCCTTTCTATTTTTCTGATTTATTCACCTTCAGGAATGTCTCCTTCCAACCAGCAAATCAAGTGCCTCTAAAAATGCTCGAACGTCTGTGTGTTCCAGAGTTTGATCTTCATCGGAGGCTTTGTCGCCAAAAAAATAACATGCGCATCTCTTTTGATCAGTGAAAACTTTGGCAAGGGAGTTGAAGACATTTTCTAAGAGTTATGTAACAAGTGGTGTGGAAAAATAAAGAGGATGAGTGGTTGTATTTATAGAAAATTACAATTACACTGTCAAGCCAAAGAGGATGGTGTCTCCTCTCAAAAACACATGTATGCGTCACACTGCATGGCTTTACAGAGGACGACAAGCCATGCAGTGTGGCGCCTCCTCTTTAATTTGAGTGCATGCGCCACACAGAGTGGCGCCTTCTTTGTGTGGCGAAATTTTTTTATTTGAAAAATGATCATTTTAGTAAAATTTTTGAAAATATGGTTATTTGAGAATTAAAAAAAAAAAAAAATTTTATTTAAAAAAAAATTCAAACTTTTCACTTTCTATTTACGAGAAAAGTATTATTTCACATGTTAATTTTTAAAAGTGTGAAAAATAGAACTTAATTTAACTTGTGTATGTATTCACATTTTTCTATTAAAAAAATACATTTTCACTACTTTTTTACTACTAGATAATTTGTGTCAATAATAAGAAGAAAAAACTATTTAAAATCAAAAGTGTAGTCAACAGTCAAACTATTGACATTCATTTATGGAAAATTATTTTTTTCACAGATTAAATTGTAAAAGTGCAAAAAAACATATAACTAAATTGAACGTGAATTCTTTTATGTATGTGCTCGAATTTTTCTATTAAAAATAACTTTTCACTAATTAACTACTACTAATTATATTCTGTCAATAATAAGAAGAAAAAACTATTAAAAATCAAAAGCTTAGTCAACCATCAAACTTTCCACATTCTATTTAAGAAAAAAATCATTATTTCACAAAAAAAAAAATCATTATTTTACAGGTTAATTTATAGTAGTTTGAAAATAGAACTGAATCGAATTTAATTATTATTTTTTGTATGTGTACTGTATTTTTTTATTAAAAATACATTTTCACTACTTTATTATTACTAGCTAGTTACTTTTTTAAATAATTAAAATTTACCAGCAGTAAATTGCCCGTGTGTAATGTGTGTGAGTTTGTATACTCGTGTAATGTGTATGTTAGCTATTTTTTAACCACATACTTTCAACATAGATCATTTAATATATTTTTATTAACTAAAATCATAGGTGTCATATTAAATTATATAAATTTTAATTAATTTAGTTAAATTTATATAAATATTATCCAATTATAGAATATATAATAAATAATATATTATTTTTGTATTATTATAATTTATTTAATTTTCATTAAAGATGACAACGAAGATATATGCACGATGAAAAAAAAAGTTATAGATAAGATAAAAACTATAAAACTATTTATAATTAAATATGAGAGAATTAATAAAATTATCTTAATCAAAAAATAACTAAATATAAAATTTGACCATAACATAAAATGAGTATTAGACTTATTTTTTTACAAAATTTATTATTATTCTATCTAAAATTTTGACTTTTCTAAAATAATTAAACTAAAAATAGTAAAAAAAATGAAAATAAGACTATTTTTGTTCTATGCCATATATAATATCAACTAATAATTTATTTATTAATAATTAAAAAAATTCTACTATAAATGAATAATATTATTTAGACAAATTACATTTTTATTTAAAAAAGGTAAATGTATGTAATAATATTATATTAACACAAAAGTAGTATAAATATTGTATATTGTAACCCAAATTACATAAAATATCTTTCCACTAGCTTTTTCCCTCCTCAAAATTGGGTTTACCCCACCAATAACCCACCATCTTCACATTCACCTAGGACCGCCCCCACTTTGTTAATGCAATAAAATCGAGATAATGTTCAAACTCTAAAGTCCCGTTTCATTTTCTCTCTCTTCTCTCTATCTCTCTCTATTTCTTCTTCTGCTTCATTTGACTTGTAGCCACCATACAAGAAACTGAATCATCTCGTAAGATTCTATCTTTTTATTTTTTTTGAATTTTTATTTTACTTACACCCTTTCAACTCAAACGTTGTGAACTTACGTTGTAGTTGTGTTGGTTAGTGCTGTTTTACTTATTGATATACTGAAGTTTCTTTTTATTCTGTTTTTTTTTTGTTCGTAACTTGCTGAAGTTGTTGTCGTTATTGGATTCATAATTTTCCTCATCAATTTTTCGTACGTTTTTCTGTTTTATTATTACTATGATATTTTCTGTTTACTTATGTTTCTTGTACTTTGATATTTTGATTCCTGGTGAATTCGATCACAATACATGATTGATGATTGAATTCAACTAAGAATCTAGCACAGTAAATTCGGAATACGCTGATCTATTTTTTTTAATATATATTATATAAGCGGGAAGTTCCATATTTTTTTTTCAATAAAAAGTTGCTAATTAATTTTTATGGAGAATTTGAGATATTTTTCTTCTTTTTGTATTGTTTTTTTTTTAGTTTTGTTGGATGTGTAGGAATTTTTTTATCTAATTTCCGTGATTTGAGTTTGGTGAAAATCTTGAAGATATTAGTGTATATGTTTTGTGATCTAGAATTTTTTTTTTTGAATTTTCTGGGAAGCATTTGATTTTTGTAGTATGTTAATTTTTCTCTCTTTTATTGATGTTGGCAGGTTTATAAATGTCATCCAATTTACAGAATTTGTTGACTTGAATTGGTGAGAAGTGGTAGTTGGTCAAATTTGTAGGTTGAATTTTTTTCTTCTTCTTCTGGATATTTGGGTTATCTTTTGGAGTTATTTTCACTGGAAAATGATGATGATGTTTGATGAGATGGGTTTATCTGGGGATATGGATGTGTTTTCTGGTCCCCCAGTTGAGGGGGATATTACCGCCCGGCAAACTGAACCTGGGATGATGGTTGGCGAAGATTACAGTGATGATGAAATGGATATTGATGAGCTTGAGAAGAGGATGTGGAAGTACAAAATGCTTCACAAGCGGTTGAAGGATAAGGAACAAAGCAAGCCGAGGGAAGGATTCGATGCAGCGAAACAGAGGCAATCGCAAGAACAGGCAAGGAGGAAGAAGATGTCGAGGGCTCAAGACGGAATCTTGAAGTACATGCTGAAAATGATGGAGGTTTGTAAGGCTCAAGGGTTTGTTTACGGGATAATTCCCGAGAAAGGGAAGCCTGTGACTGGGGCATCGGATAATCTCCGGGAGTGGTGGAAGGATAAGGTTAGGTTCGATCGGAATGGTCCTGCCGCGATATCCAAGTACCAAGCAGACAATGCGATTCCGGGGAACAACGATGGGAATAACTCAATTGGGCCAACCCCTCACACTTTGCAAGAGCTGCAGGACACAACCTTGGGTTCTCTGTTATCAGCACTGATGCAACACTGTGATCCTCCTCAGAGGCGGTATCCGTTGGAGAAGGGTGTTTCTCCTCCATGGTGGCCAACTGGGAATGAAGAGTGGTGGCCACATATCGGTTTACCGAAAGATCATGGTCCTCCGCCTTACAAGAAGCCTCATGACCTGAAGAAGGCCTGGAAGGTTGGAGTCCTGACTGCTGTTATCAAGCACATGTCTCCCGACATTGCCAAAATTCGCAAGCTTGTGAGACAGTCCAAATGCCTTCAAGATAAAATGACGGCTAAGGAAAGCGCAACCTGGCTTGCAATCGTCAATCAAGAGGAGTCTTTAGCGCGGGAGCTTTATCCTGATTATATCCCCCCATTTACCTCAGCTGGGGGAAGTGGATCTTTTTCCACCAATGATGGAAATGAGTACGATGTCGATGGGGGAGAAGATGACCCAAATTTTGACGTTGAGGAACGGAAACCTGAGAATCTTCTTCATCCATCCAACATTGGGATGCTGGAGAGAATGAGGGGCGTAAGACTGCCAATTCAGCAGCCTTCTTTCGCAATGAATGGAGATGCTGCAATAAACATGGATTTCATGCGGAAGCGGAAGATCTCTGGCGACTTTAACATGATGATGGATCCGAAAATTTTCACTTGTGAACACCCTCCGTGTCCTTACAGCGAACTTCGTCTCGGTTTTCAGGACAGGACTTCTAGGGACAATCATCAATTGTGTTGTCCATATAGAGCCAGTTTATCAGATTATGGTGGTCCAAGTTTTCATGCTAATGAGGTTAAACCAGTCATATTGCCTCAGTCCTTTGTTCAACTGAAACCTACAGCTCAGTCTGTCAACATGGTTCCACCTTCAGTTGATCTTACCGGACTCGGAGTTTCAGAAGACGGTGAGAAAAATATCGGCGACCTTATGACAGTGTATGATTCCGATGTTCACCAAAGCAACCGGAATACTAACAATCGCGTAGCTGCTTCTGCCGCAGAGAATCACAACTTACAGCATCCTAGCAGCATTCTGCAGCAGCAGCAACAGCAGCATCAGAATTTCTACCGCGGTCAAGGAATGGTGATGGAAGGAAGCAACATGTCCCATAATAACCATCATCACATGTTTGCAAGCAATGAAGGTCAATTCAACCGGTTCAGAGCTTTGAATTCCCCCTTTGAGAACAATCACCATCACAACAACAACAACAATCACAATCACAACAGCAACAACACCAATTTCCATTTTATGTTTGGGCCCCCCCACTGTGATCTGTCATCCTTTGATTTTAAGGAGGATAGTCATGGAGTAGGCATGGCTCCTCTGCAGAAACAGCAAGATGTTTCAATATGGTACCAGTGAATTTGACAACTGGAATCTAGAATGCTCTTTTTATTTTTCTTTCAAACGTTTGGTTTGGCCACCCATATCATAATCATGTGAAGTTTCCCTTTGGGCCAAAAAGGTGTTACTGCAATTTTCTTCACATGTAATTTTCTAGGCCTAGAAAAAATCTAGATTTTTATTTTTATGCTTGTTGTTAGCTATGATACGGGGTTATAATAATAATAATAATAATAATAATAATAATAACGATAATAATAATAATAATAACGATGATAATAAAAATAATGATGATGATAATAATAATAATAATAATAATAATAATAATAATAATAATAATAATAATAATAATAATAATAATAATAATAATAATAATAATAATAAAAAATAATAATAATAAAAGTTTGTTTGTTCTTTCTTTTCATAATAATGTAGACCTATGGTTTTGTTTTGTTTTTTTTGTTTTTAACTAAGATTATTCAATTCAATGTTTTATGGAAGACTTGTGATATAAATAACATTTCAAAAATTTGGTTACACTACCATGTATGGTAAATGAAACTGTTTGTCTTTTATTGAATATGAATAATTCTCTCATGCTTATCCTATTCCCATGTGAAATGGGACCCTAAGTTTGGCAGATGCTAAGTTGAAGTGGCTTTTGGATTACGTGCATGAGTTTGTATGCTTGTGTGGTGGGGTCTCTTTTTTGTAGGACACATGATTGATTGTTCACATCTTTATTGAGTCATTACATTGTTTTGCTACTTCATCACCATTGAATGTAGCTGTTCATGGGACAATTGAGAGGCTCATTTCTTGTGACTCACCAAGGTGGATTGATGCTATATACACCTAGTTTTATCTTTTTAGGTGCTTATTTTATCTTTCTACTTTTATACTTTATGCCATCTATTTTGCACACACATGCTTTTCTTTGTTCTTTAGATACTTTTTTTTTATAACTAGTATTAGAAAATGTGATGTGGATTATTAGCACGTGTTGAAATTTAACTTATTTAGTTTTGATTAGAATTATCTGTTCGGTTTGATTTTAAAAATTCTTAAAATTTAAATTGCATTTTTAAGAACACCATTAGATCGACAAACCTCATGTTAAAATTAAGATGAAATATATCATTACCATCTCATCCAATACTCGTGAAATATTCATGAGTTCTAATAGCAAAATATTCATGAGTTTATTGTTTATGATTTGTCTTAGTGTATATATTTTAAATTACATCCACGAGTCTTTATCATATGAAAAATATTATTTTTAAATGAATTAATTCATTAATATATTTAATCTATTATATAAGAAGAGCATTGTGCGATCTAGCAGAGTAAGATATAGATAGAACATAGTGACAGTATGATTTGTTTCGTAGTACTTTATGAAAAGGTTGCAGTTAGGCTGTTTGTTCATTGTGTCTGTCTGTACATGAGGTTGGATGGTTTAGCTTTGTGCGTTTCTTATTTATGCTTTGTCGTTTGTGTTTTTTTAATGTGTTTTTGGTGAATGATAATGTAAATTTTATTATGTATTATAAAAAAAAATTGTTATTGCGGATAAAGCATATTAATTGGAAAAACAGAAATAGTAATTTGTTAGGAATTCTTTTTATTTATTTAAACAATTAAAAAATTTAGAACAGATGGAAATAGTTAAAAAAATGATATTAATCTTTACTGGTTATGGAAAGCCATTTTAATATATTTGTATATTTTTGCAATTTTATTAAAAAATATGACTAAAATATTTTTCGGTCAAATTTCTTAAAATCAAGGGAAAGAGTTTTTATTATCAGTAAGAGTGATATTCCTTTATATAAAATATATTTACAAAAATAAATTGTTATATTTTTTTATATAAAATATATTTTTAACTTTTCAATTTTATTTATTCCATAAGATATGGTTAGTTTATAGCATTTTAAAATTTAACTTCTTAATATTGTTTTTTAATTACTTAATATATAAATTTTATTTTCAAGTCAAAAGATGATTTTTTTAATTAAAGAATATTTTTATTCTATAAGTTTTTACATTTTAATATCACTAATTAAATTAATTTTACACTCTCAATCAATATATTTTAAATATATATATATATATATATATATATATATATATATATATATATATATATATATATATATATATATATATATATATATATATATATATATATATATATATATATATATATATATATATATATATATATATATATATATATATATATATATATATATATATATATATATATATATATATATATATATATATATATATATATATATATATATATATATATATATATATATATATATATAAAGATATAAGGATATAAGGATATAAGGATGAATTGATTAAATTTCTAATATTTTAATCAATGCCAGTTTGCCAGTTTATATCGGAGATATAAAATTTATATAAAAATAAAAGGTAAAAACAGCGTATTTCTTTTGTTCTATTGTGTTTAATTATAAAACATGAATTGAAGCTGAAAACTATATGCATTACATTTGATAGATATGTATATATAATGTCAATTTTATAGAGGGCATTGAGGGTTACACTCCTTTAGTAAGGACAAATTTTTTTGAGACATTAAATCTTCCACCTATATGTATCAAGCAATAGTTATTTTTAACATGTGTGGTTTCTTATATGTTATTTCTAAGTATCTCTAAGTGTAAGAACCTGGACACTATGCAACATATTTTATCAATTGAACAAAAAAACTAACCCCATTGGTTACTTCACGCACATGTATGTATGAAGATATGTTAAATAAATTGAAACATCAATATTAATTAATTAATTAAAATTTAAGTAAGAATGTGTTTGACTTTATGTAAAATTTGTTTAGCCGTGAAAATGAAAGGTCTTATTGACTACACTTAAATTAAATTTATGAATGTCATTTAAGGATATGATGACACACTATACTAGTACCAAGGAAAAGGCAGTCTACTATTTTCTTTTCTCTATTTTAACTTGTCTTGAATCATTATTCACCTATTCTAAAATAACTAATTAGTTTATGTAAAAACTTTTTCTTAAAATGACTAATTTATTTTGAATTTTAATATGATATGAATTATATATTTTTAATTATATTAAAAAATAATACTATTTATTTCTTTTCTAATACAATTTTAATTCACATTTACTGTAAAAGTAAATATAACCATACATAATAAAAATATTTTAAACAAATATAATATTTTAAAGATATGAAATAACAACTAAAATTGAGAGATAAAAATAAAAATTGGTCTTCACATATGACATTTCAACACTTAACTACAAAATTAAATATTACAATTTTTCTTTTCTAAAATTTTCCTTTTATTTAATTTTAACTCTTAATTAAAATATTTTTTTAATTGTTAATTTATAATTAAATATAATTTATTTATATTAGTATATATCTCGTTTACTCTAAATTTTATGGTACACGCATTGTTAAACTTGTGACTCATTTAATTATTTATTTATAATTTTAAAAATATTGTAGTTGTTTAGTTATTGGCTTGCATTTTTGGTAAAACTCAAGTGTATGTGTGAATGTCATGACTGATGTCATAACATTCTAGTTTAGTTTGTACTGATTCATTAGGTACCTTTGCAGAAAAATATTGTCATTCAGGTACTGATGTTTATAAGTGTGTATCTGAGCATTTTGCAAAATGATCACATTTTCCTAAATCAGTAGACAGGTTTTTTCAGATGTCATAACAGATGTTAAGACATCCTGTTCTGAACTAACAGGTTTGCAGTTTGGTTAATTCTGAGTTTTTTCAGGAAAATGACTCAGTCTTTCCAGAACAGCATCCTGCGTTTTCTTTGGGTTAACCTAGCTCAACCCTAACCTGGTTGATAAAGTCCTGTGACCTAGTCTTAAGATCAAATGGAATTAACCCTAGCTTTTTGTGGAAACCCTAACTGAAGATGCAACTGCTATATATTCAACAGAGCTGCTATTTTGCAAGGAATCCCTTTTTGGTCAGAAGATCATTTGTAAAACTGTATAGGTTTAATTATTGTACTTCAAGCAATTATCATTGTGATAAGTGACTTGGAATAGGTTTTTAATTGTAAGGGTTGTGTAGCACTCAAAGCTTTGAAGCAAGAGTGTTTGAATGTTTCTTGACTAAAGCTGTGAAGCAGAGTCAGGTTAGGTGTGTGTATCACTCAAAGCTGTGAAGCAAGAGTGGTTGTGTTGCTTGATTAAAAAGCTGTGAAGCTTAATCAAGTGTATGTTTTTTGAAGAGTGTCTTTATCAATTCATTAGTCAAATTGTTTTATGTATCACTGCTGTGATTGAGGGGGAGTGAGTAGGAACTCAGGTTTAAGTTGTACTTAGATTGAAATTGCATTGGGTAGGTCTTAAGTGAAGGAGATAAACTGGTTGGTTTATTCCTGAATTAACATCTCTTATAGTGGATTTCCTCCCTGGCTTGGTAGCCCCCAGAGTAGGTGTTGTTGCACACTGAACTGGGTAAACAATTGACTGTGTTCTTTACTGTTTTTGTATTTACTGTCTTATAGAAAGTCAGATACGGTGTCATAACATTAAACGTGACATTGAGTATATGCAGCCAGAATTTCAATTGGCATCAGAGCAGGCACCCTGCCTGTATTACTGGGTGAGATCTAGAGATATCACTTTCTGGCACTATGGACAAAGAAGGAGTTTTTGGAAATAGACCACCCATTCTGGATGGAACTAATTATGACTACTGGAAACCTCGTATGATTGCCTTCTTAAAATCTCTGGACAAAAAGGCTTGGAGAGCTGCTGACAAAGGATGGATCCATCCCACCATAACTGAGAAAGATGGGACAATCAGTCTGAAACCTAAGGAAGATTGGAGTAAAGAAGAAGATGAGTTAGCCCTGGGAAATTCCAAAGCTTTAAATGCCTTGTTCAATGGAATTAATAGAAACATTTTCAGACTAGTTCATCAATATGAACTGGCCAAGGAAGTTTGGGACACTCTCAA